GATAGAAAACCCCTAGAAGTTCAAGGCCCTCCTTTGCCAACCAACTAGCCATTTGACCTTGTTCAAATTGCTTAACCTCTGCGAGGCTCACTTCCCTCATCTTTTGCTGGGAACTGTGCAGCCCACCTCTCCTACTTGTCAGGATCAAGTGAGAATGTCAATGAAATTGCTTTGAAATGCTTACATGTTATTATTTTATTTGACTGTGACAGCAAAGCAATGGATGTTTTTGTGTCTAATGTCAGTGCAAGAACATTTCCAGTGGGATTTCTGTTTTCCTGTGTTCAGTTTCCCGGGCCATAGCCTCATTCTCACACTTGTGTGGGAAAGGAGCTCATCTACAAAGGATGTTTCCTGGAACTGTGGGCAGGGTTTCCAATGTCCCTGCAAATTCTCTGAGGTTGCGGTTCTCAACACAGGAATTTGCAGTCTTGAAATTCCCTTTTGAATTCTTGTGAGATACCCCCCACCCTCCCAAAGGAGTTCACTTCAGAAAAGCAAGGTATTTTTAGTGCTGAGTCTTGGATTCGATGTTGCCACACTAGAGGCTGAGGGCTATAGGCCATCAGAGGTGAGGATATGGAATGTTATGACAATGTTTGATGGCATATTGTTTGGCTTAGTGTGTCATGCCATAGAGAGTAGACAGGGGTACAACACTCTGTGAGAAAGACGTAGAGGTCCCATGCTGTGCAAAGCTGGTGCAAAAAAAATGTTAGGCATTTATTAGAACATTGAAGAATTTTGCTTTGTGAGTCAATAAGAGAACAAAGTGAGGAAGTAAATAGTTCTATTCAAATACAACGTTGAAGGGAGACTCAGTGTGGTAATGAATAGTGTGGAATGTGAATAGCTGGGCATCATATTGTAATTATTAATAATATAAGCAATGTTGTTTGGAATCTTAATACTGAGTAAGGGAGAGGCAGGGCTAGGTATGGAGAGATAGGTAGGGGACTACGGGATCAGGCTCACAGAATGCTAAGGTTCAAGGAAACCAGAGATAAGGGAACAAACCAGACCACCCTATCCCAGGTGTGTGTGTGTGCAGGGGGGGATATGCCTTTTTTTATGACAGTCACCTGTGACCAACACAGAATAACCAGACCCTAAAAAGAAGTAAGCCATTAAAGATGTTATTACCAGTCCTTACTCAAACCAAGACATCACCAGAATGATAGCACCACAAGCTCCCTGGTCAGTTCTAAATAAAAAACTGCCCGTGCTTGCCCACATTGGTGACCCTGTTGGGACCCCTGTCACTCTTGAGAGCTTTTTGGTATCTTCATTTAATAAAACTCTATCACTTTACTCACTCCCCTTTGTCTGTGAGATTCATCCTTCAAATCCATGAGACAAGAACCTCACTCGCCTGCTTCAATACAGGGTTGTGATGGGTTGAATCTTTTTAAGCGAGCCACCTCAAATTCTAGTATTCAAAAGTGTGTAGCAAAGGACTTCTGCTTCCAGCCAAGATGGGAGAAGAGTATTCAGATTTATCTTCTCACATTAAACAACTGGACAAAATATAAGATACAATAGTTATCAAACATTTGGCAATAAGCAGCATAGGACAGTGAACTTGAGAAAGGGGAAGCAAAAGAGCAGAGCTCTACTGTTGCCCCAGTTTGCCACCTGGGGAGCATTTACAGTGGATGGGCCCTTCCTGGGGGTGGGGGAGACAGAGCTGGGAGTCTCACTCCAGGCAGCCTGAGCTTACGGAGAAGAGTGCTGGGGAGGAGAGAGCCCTGGGGCTCTGCAAAGGGTCCCCTTGAGTTTTCAGCTGATAGAGATGAGCACAGACATGTGAAGTTGGGGAAAGAATGATCAGAAAGGAGTACGGGAACAATCCCCAGGTACCTGTGGGGCTGGGAAGAGTTTGTGTTTTCACCAGCAGAGTGAAAAAACCTTGTAAACATAGGACATCGGCTAGAAGACTCAAATAGTTATCACTCAGGAGCATGGCAAGTTAGCCCTAGACTAGAGGTTGCTCTGGTTCTACCTTACAAAAGTTTTAAAGCAAGCCTCAAAAGGATCAAATGATTCTCAAGTACTTTAAGTGCATCCCAGAACAAAGCCAAAGAATATTGAAGAGAATACAAGGCTACCCAGCACCAACGAGGTAAAATTCATACTGTCTTGCATGTAATAGGAAATTACCAGGCATGCAAAGAAGCAGGAAAATACAACCTATAATGAGGAGAAAAATCAATGAACTGAAACCAGCCTGGATGTGATAGAAAGGATAAAATCAGTAGACAAGAACATTAAAACAGTTGTTATAACTGTATTCCGTATGTTCAAGAAGGGAGAAGGAAATGTAAGCATGGTGGGAGGAAATATGGGAGATATAAAAAAAAAAATCGAAATTGAACTTCCAGGTTGACAAAATGATGTCTGAGACGAACAATACATTGGGTGGGATTAACGACAGATCAGGCATTGCAGAAGAAAAGACTGGTGGACTTGAAGGCACAGCAATAGAAACTACCCAAAACGAAACACAGAGAGAGGAAAGACCAAAAATAAAAGAACAGTGCTTTAGGGAATTGTGGGGTAATTTTAGGTGGCCTCATATTTGTGTAATTGGAGATTCCAAAGGGGAAGAAAGAGAGGGGGACAGAAAAAATGTCTGAAGGAATAATGGCAGAAAAATGTGTAAATTTGATGAAAACTATAAACGCATAGCTCCAAGAAGCCTGATGAACCCCAAGCACAGGAAATATGATAAAAAGACACCAAGGCACAGCATCATCAGATTGCTTAAAACCAGAGGTAGAGAGGAAATCTCAAAAGCCATCAGACTGAAAAGCCACATTGTATACTAAGGAACGCAGAAGATTAACAGACATCTCCGTGGAAGCCAGAAGACAGCGGAGCAACATCTTTAAAGATCAAATAGAGGTGTGCCGCCATCTCCATTGCCTTGGGGCAAATGTAAATTGGTAGATGCTGGGACAGAATCTCATCCCCAAGGCTTGGTATAAGTAGGAAAGTGAAAGCACTGAGGCAAAACTAGGGAGACAGTAAGAGGATCGGTGGTCACTAGGAGCTGGGTGGGGGCTGCAGAGGGAAAGATGAATAGGTGGAGCACAGAGGATTTTTAGGGGAGTGAAACTACTCTGCAGGATACTATCATGGTGGATACCTGTCCTTATATATTTGTCAAAACCCAGAGAATGTACAATGCCAAGAGTGAACCCTGATGTGAACGATAGGCTTTGGGTGATAATGATGTGTCAATAGGTTCATCAACTGTAAGAAATATACCAGTCTGGTAGGGGATGTTGCTGGTGGAAGAGGTTGTGCATATGTAGGGGCAGGGGCATATGAGAACTCTCTCATTCCTCTCAATTCTGCTATAACCTAAAAGTGCTCTAAAAAATAATGTTTGTAGGGGTGCCTGGTAGCTCAGTCGGTTCGGCGTCCGACTCTTGATTTCGGCTCAGGTTGTGATCTCAGGGTTTGTGAGATCGAGCCCCGCATCTGGCTCTGTGATGGGTGTGCGGTCTGCTTAAGATTCTCTCTCCCTCTCCCTCTGTGCCCCCTCTCTCTTTAAAAAAAAAAATATAAAATAAAGAAAGTTTATTAATGAAAAAAAAGTACTTTGATGGTCAGATGAAGATTACAGCCCCGTGCCCACACTTTTGAGAGCATGTGGAGAAGAGAAAGAGTACTGGAAGTTTCACGATGATGCTAAGCTAGTCCTACAAAAAGAGGCCTAAGTTCCAGAACACACTGAATACATGATTTTCCCTAGAAAACGTGTTCCCTTTGCTTTATATCTCCAGCTCAGTGAATGGCACCCCCAAGCTATGAACTTCAGGCACCCTTGATTCTTATATCTCTTGAACCCCACATCCAGCTGGTTCCTAAATCCCACTGATTTTGTCTCCTAAATGCCTCTCGGTTTGCTTCTCTTCCTCCAGTTCTAACCGAGGCCCTCCAAACTTCTCACCAGCTTGTCATTTGACATTGGAACTGTCACGTCACCCATCTGGGTCTGGGTGTGCCCTTCTATAAAATAAGAGGATTGCCTAATGGCCTCCGAGGTCCTTTTCACTGTTAAAGTCTGGGCTTCAGTGATGTTTTAGGTCATGTATATAGAGAGACCTCTTTTATTTCACACTAATGAAGCTAGATTCTGATGTGGTTATATCTAGAGAGGAGCAAGTTATAAGTTATAAATGTGCCCTGCACAAAGTATTTGCTGAATAAATAAATGAGAGTTTAAAGCGAAATGACACCAAAAACTAGCAAAACCCCAACCCACCCCAAATAATTATACTCTGCAGAACAGGCTTCCGTTTGGGGTAGGCTGGATGATGACTCTCCCCCAAAGATGGCCACGCCCTAATCCCCAGCGCTTGTGAATTTTATTTTATATGGCAAAAAGGATTTTGCAGATGCGATTAAGTTAAGAATCTGGAGATGGGGAGATTATCCTGGATTATCTGGATGGGCTCGCACGGGTCCTTATAAGAGAGAGGCCGTAGACTTTGAAGATGTCAGGAGGGGCCATGAACCAAGGAACACAGGTAGCCTCTAGAAACTGGATTTTCTCTTCTGAGCCTCCCGAAGAAACACAGCCCTGTCAATACCGTGATTTTAGGACTTTTGACTTCTAGAACTGTAAGGTAATAACCTGTATTATTTTAAGCTGCTAAATCAGTAGTGATTTGTTACAGAAGCAATAAGAAAGTAATACACAGGCCTAGTTTCCCTACTAACTTCTTATATTTCCTGGAAGGACACCTAATTTTTCTGGGCCTCTGTTTTACTTTCAGCCCAATAAGGTTAAAACTATCTCTCCTCCATGAGGCAAACGAGAAATGAAATAGTACATAATATTAGTTGAAATAATAGAAATACTACTCATAATGCCAAAACTACTAGCATTCATATTACTTCTAATGTGCAAATGCCTTCCCGACATTATTTCATTCAAACTCCTCAGCAATCTCATGAAGTAGAGATCATTCTCCACCTTTAATAGATGGAAAACCGAGGCTTGGTAAGATCAAGAAAACTTGCTCAGGCTCACACCACTAAAAGTGGGAGGACCTGGAATTCGGTCTCGGGTCTGTCTGATGGCAAACATGGGCTCTTGCTCATTTTTGTTATCCTGGCAATTATAAATTTTGTGCAAATGGGGGCCAGGGTAATGAGGATGACGATTACTGTACCACTCCGTTATTCTTCTCTCCTCATTCCTCTTTCCTGTAACAACATCTGATTGTTCCACTCATCACATTGCAGCTTGTCACTGGCTTGTCACAGAAGTGATTGAGATGCTAGTAATTCAGCATTACGACTTTCCGGCTGGGCGAGGTTGGCAAAAGCCTGGGGAGATGTATGTTTCTCTGAGAGCAAATGGTTCTGAGGTTTGGAAATGGGGACACCCCTCCCACCGTGCCCCAGAAAGATGCAGTTGCGTGTGGTGAGGACAGCGCTCAGCAAATCGGGTGAGGAGACAGGGCACAGATGTCGGATGCCCCGGGGTCTCTCCAGACTGTGGAGTGACACAAGAGTGAACCATGGGGGCTTCCTGGAGGGGGCTGTGTGGTTTGAGCACCTCACATTTTTCTTTTTATGAAACATGCTAACCGCAGCCAGTTTTCCAATCCTCTTTCCTCATTCATTTACCTGCTTCCTCTTCCTTTTTCTTTTCCTCACCTTTGATTTTTAATGCTTCCCCCCATTGTTCTGAGATCTGTTTGTTTTTTTTTTTAAGGGGTTGGCTTGGGTAATAGGAATCAGGGCCACAGGGGCTGACTCGGCAGGACCTGTGCGGTTTGCTTTGAAGGTTTGTCAGAATATTTGGATTAATCACATTCATTCTAATATTTTCCCTTGTTTCTGATCATCAAAGAGCTCAGAAAGGTTTAAGCTGGTGCAGAATTTCTCCTAGTTTGTCCTTGGGAGCAGAAGTTTAGAACGGGGTCGATCTAAAAATGTTTTCTGAGTGAAGCCCTGTTAATGGGGCAGGCTGCAAATTCACATCAAGGGAGTGTCATCTTTCAAAACAGCTTCTTGGCAGAACGGGATGTGGAATTTTAGAGAAATCTGAATCAGCTAAGTTTCCATTAAATGAACTTCTTGATTCCAGGCTGTGCCAAGTGGAATCTGGGGGCTGCGCGCTGTGAGAACTTGACATCTTCCGTGGCAGGATGCCTTGGAAAGGTCAGACGTCCTTTGGGATGAAACAGTCATCAGTTTGGAGGAGGTGTTTTTTTTTTTTTTTTTCCTCCTTTTCTATGCTCCCCTGCGTCTCCTTTTCTATGTACTTTTTTTTTTTTTTTAACTTTTGTTTTGTTTTGGTTGGTGTTTTTTGTTTAGCTTAGTTGGATGGAGGTCAAAGATGGAACTTTTGCAGTGGGGTCTGGAGGATGCTGGTGGAATGAGCCTCATTGTGATGGGCTCTCCTTTACGGCTGGCTCACTTCCTCACCTTGACTGTAAGCTCTTTGGGGACAAAGTCATAGGACTCATGTTCCTGTAGCATCTGCCATCATCACCAGAGAGCCCCAGGGTAAGTGCAAGAAGATGAGTTATTGCCTACATTTCCTTGAGTCCGTGCGTGCCTCGCATTTAATGAGGATTTGGTTACTTTCCTTTCACCACGCTCCTTCCCCAGGCACTACGAAGGAATGGGGGAGAAAAACTGAGGATACATTTGAGGTGGATCAGCAGCTGGGAAGTCTCAGCTGGAAACATGCCAGAATGACATACGAATGTGGATGATCATTGAATTCATATTTTGCACGATTTCATGTAGCGCAGAAGAAAGACAGGAGGATGGGGGAGTCAGGAGTCTTGGGTTCTAGTTTTGATTCTGCGGGCATTAGCTGAGTGACCCTGGGGGGGTCTCTTAACCAATTCCAGCCCCCTCCCCATCTGTAAAATATGCATCATAATCATGCCTTCCAGGTGTGGTAGTTGAGGTGCTGAGATGAGATATTGTGTCAGTGCTCTGTATGCTTAAGTATACCTGGAGGGAAGTGCTACTGTCCGCCATATGGACGCCATCTGAAACCTTCCTTGCCGTGTGTCATTCTCACTGAGTTTCAGGACAGCAGTCTGTGGGCCTTTGGGCCACTGAGTTTGGATCGGCCCGGTGCAGGTCATTGGAAACTGGACTACACGGCATAAAGGAGAACATCCCTTTGTCTTAGTATAGTGATTTCTGCAGACTTGGAGGTTTCTAGTAGGGAGCCATGGTCCCAGGCCCTGGTCCCCCAGTGGCCTTGTGAACTTTGCTGACTCATGTAACCTCCTCAGAGCCTCAGCTTCCTCATTTATGAGCTGAGTGACAGCTCCGAAGTGGACAGAATGCACCTTGCACTCTGGAGGGGGTGTCCAGACGTCCTGTTGAGGCAGGGGCAAGTTGGAAAAACAGAAAAACAATGGAAGAAGCTACTATTTTTTGAGTGCCAACTATGTGCCAGGGGTTTTATTGATATCTTCTCATGGAGTCTTTGATTTATTCATTCATCTATTCATATATATAATATAGAGAGAACAAAAAGAATATGCATATATTAAGAAGTTACATGCTAGGCTAGATACCAGGAATAAGACAGGAAATAAAATAGACAAGGTTAAGGCTCATGACCTTATAACAGCGTTTTATATGAAATAAGAATTTTGTAAACTCTTAAGCACAGTGCCTGGCACATGGAGGGTTCCATTTTCTATTAGTCTACATGCCCGTGGATTAAAGAAGCACGTGTAAGTTTTTCTGCGGTTGGGACAGTGAGGAGACTCAGGGCAACCTGCGGGGCGCCATCTTTCTCCATGGGGAGGATGCTGGGAAAGAGACAGTCTTCCCTGTGAAAGCTGTTCTCTCTGCTATGGAAGAGTCAGCGCGAGCCGCAGATGAGCACGGGCTGGGGCTGCGCAAGGTCCACAACCATGGTTCGGAGGGCGGTCCTTGCTCTGCTGTCTCTCAGCTTGGGTTGGTCCTCACATGCTGTGGGCACATCTCTGTGCCACTCGGCTGGCTGGAGAATTAAAGGCGCCTGCAAGGTCTCTGGTTAGGAAGCTGCAAGAGGCTGCTGAGCCAAAGAGAATGTGCCCGTCCTCTGTATGGCATGTCTGTGCTGTCTTTCCAAGGCAGGGCCAGATGGGAAGACAGAGATATAATAAAGTGCCCATTCAGTGAGGGACGCTGAGAGCCAGGCACTTTGCAAAGTAATTTCATTCAGTCCCCCAGCAGCCTTGCATGGGAGGCTTTAGCACCTCACCTTAGCACATGGAGGAGCGCAGGCTCAGAGCCTTGCTCAGTGCCCCCAGCCAGTCAGTGGGAAAACATGGATTTGAAATCAGGCCTGTCTGGTCCCAGGAGAATCCTAACTGTGAGCCTTCATGGCAGGGTACCCTGTGGTCGGAATAGGTGCTATTCTTTGGAGGACAGCTGCGTCAATCTGTTTAGGGATGAACACCGAGTTGGTGAATCAACCAGGACCTTCCTAGCTCCTTATTTCTCTTCTGATGCCCTTTTAGCCATTTCGCTACCTCTTCTCTCCTGCCACAGAGGCAGAGTCCCCTTACGTAAAACGTGCTAGAAGAATAGTACACGGAGTGGATGGCCCAGCTGAGAGGGCAAGCTCTGCATCGGTATAAACAGCCCACATACAACTCCACACTAACACTTGGGGAGGGAACACTAGTGTGTAGACCGAGAAGAAGTATGGAGTAGCCAGAACGCTTTACAGAGAAAAACAACTGACTGTAAGAGAAAGAGAGATATGGTAACCATACAGACTGGTACAAAGGTAGAGAATGGTGGGAAAGAATAGCCCATACCCATTTAACTGGGAAGGCTTAGCAAATCAAAGTACAGGACATCCAGTTATATATGAACTGCAGATAAATAATGGACAATTTTCCGTATAAGTATGTCCCATACAATATTTGGGACACATTATATCAAAATGTATTCATTATTGATCTGAAATTCAAATTTAATTGGATGTCTTATATTTTATCTGGCAACCCCAATTTAACACCTCTCCTGGCCTCTTTACTGTTGAGGTTACATGACCTACTTAAGAAAATGAAAGAGTCCGGAGTTGGGCTGTGTAGTCTTTGCTCTGACCAGCTAGGTGGTCTCGGGCAAGTCACTTGTCCTGCCCACACTTCTCTTTCCTTGCCTGTCAATGGAGCTTAGTATGTGCATCATAGATGTTGTAAAAAGAATAGCATCACAAATAAAAGAATTAACTATTGAAGGCGAGTTCTGCAGGGGCAATCTACGTGTTTTAGAATGTAACAATCTAGATTGTTTACTATCTAGAATGTAAATAAACTAATATGGCAGGCATGCTGGCTATGGGAAATTAACTAGTTTACTTATCAGTAGACTGGTGAATTTGAGGTTAACTTGCTTCTAAACTCCTGGATTCTCTTGACCCAAACTATCCATTAGTTTGAAGGGATTTGTGGCATTTCTGCAAAATACATGGTTGTGAATAATGCCAAGATAAGGCATAGGACAATGTCAGAGAATAACACACTCAAACTAAAGAGGGCAGAAAAGTGAGATCTGTCTTATCTGAACTGGGTATTCATTACCCTTCCCTCATGATTATTTACTATTGAATTTCTTTGTGGGTGGTGATGCCAATAAGCATTGCCTTTAGCAGAATAATTAGACTATATTAGACACTACATATTTATCAGGATGAAGTATCACAAATATTTCTATAATTTCCAAATTATTTTTATTATAATGCTTGCTATATGTCAGGTTAACTATGTGTAGGACTTGCTTGTGGCCTCATGATGTTGTTACGAGCTTCTAAGCAGACCAGAACCTTAAAGCCAGTGATAAAATCCTCCCAGAACACAGAACACTTTCCCACCTTAGGGCCTTTGCACTAGCCATACCCTTTGTCTGGAATTCTGTGCTGACTCTTTGCAGGGCTGGCTCCTCCTCAACTTCACCTTCTCAGGGAGGCCTTTCTTGAACTCTGTATAAATTTGGTTGTTTTGTTATTCCCTATTAGCATTTTGTTGATTGTTTCATAACATTTTTCAAGACCTGGAATGATTTTGTTTTGCTTACTTGTTTATTACAGTATTTCATTGAGCCTAACATGCCATGGTTAGTATGATACACCATTGCTTTGTACACCACTAAAAAGGAAAAAGGAAGGCTACAAATTAAGCTGTGACATGATGCCCTAATGGTAGCCCTGTGTCATGCATGGATTGGTCACAGTAGCATCTCATTGCTTTGAGATTTCTTTCATCTATTTTGGGGGTTTGGCAGTTTCCTTCTGCTAGTTGCTTTGGTTAGAGTGTAACAGACAATCCTTTTGCACATGCCTCAGTAAAGCACCGTTCCATATACTGTGATTATCTTCCCATAAACCACTTGTTTGTTACTTTGTAAAAAATTATGGGATAGCTATCATTTCTCCAATAATAAACGTCAAATGTATGCTTTCACACAGTCTCCATGCCTTTTTGCATGCAAATCATAGGTTAGTCTTTTCAAAAACATTTTAACTGGCAATGAAGCTTGACCCATGTAGTCCCAACGATGAACAAAACTCAGCTGAAGTGATGATAATATGAGCACTTCTGATCAATCTCACAGCCATGGCTTAGCCCCGGCGTTTGTAAGATATCTTTTAATTTCAAACACATTTTAAATATGAAGAAATGCATGCTTTAGAATTGACAAAATAAAGTATCTGTTTCCTCTACCAGGGAGCTGAGTCCTTGTCCATTGTGTCTGTCACTGTGTGCCCAGCACCCAGCACAATGTTGGCATACAGAAAGTACTCAATAAATGTGTCACATGAATGGAGGAATTAATATAATCCTGTACTTGGACATTTTTGTTAACTGGGGAATCGATTGAAGTCTTATGGAAATAAAGTAGTATATAAATAGCTTCTGCTGTTTTTAAAAACTCCTTTGTTCTGAATTCATGTAATTGGACATACCAATTACAAGGACTAAATTTTGACTGGCAAAGATATGGTCGATTCCCACTGAGAGAATTCTCATCATCATAGTAGGAAGTACTTGCGTATAACGCTTTTCAGCTTTCCAACACAGACATGCTATCAGGTAGCGACAGGAGTGCTTCCCGATCACCAGGCAGGGCAAGCTGGGGCATGTAGGAGTCAGGGCTGCATCCCTGTGAATGATACAGCAAAGCACTCAGTCCACGGAGGGCCCAGGCTTGCTGAAGAGCTGGTGAGCCGTAGTATGGCTGTTAGGCTTTAGAAAGGCATGAAAGAACTAGGGCTATGCCTACTAGATAAGAGAAGAATTTTGAAGGAGAATATATGTATTTACTGAACACCTCCTAGGCTGGAGGGTGCTCATGTAATTCTCACACGGGCCCATGGATCGGTTGTCATCACTTCCCTTTGCAGCTGGGGAAACTGACACTCAGACCGAGTCACCTTCCTGTAGCTAGTGGATGGCTCGTCTAGGATTCCAGTCTGACTCTTCCTGATTCT